TAAGCACGGGTAATAAAAGGATAACTATTGCCAAATAAGTACTGGTACACAAACCTCCATTGCTAAAGAGTTGCCGATCAAGAGTGTGCAAAGCAAAAGGTGTTGGTTTTTTACGACTGGAAGTATTTTAGCTGTCAAAGAAAGGAAAAAATCTTTAAGAAGCCAATGCAAGCGAACATTCTACAACTCATATTGTGTCACAACACTGCTTCTTTTCTAACTTATCACAGTATAAGCTTTATTACAACATCAGTGATTATTGCTTCAATTGTAGAATCATGATATGAGAACTGACTTAACTTTCTCATTTGTCCATTCCAGGTATGACAAGAATCATGTACCTCTTTCTCTTACTACTTCAACTATTCAATTACCTTGTTCGAGTAAATAATCAATACACCATTTTCTTGCTTTATCTATCCACAATTTGCATTGCAGTTCAACCACTACAAAGCTACCACATCAAGCTTATTGCTAAACAATTTTTTCAGTTTCTAAGGACAAATTCACTCTCTTTTACTTATTCATGATTTGTAACCCCCTTGCATAAATCAAGATTCAACCTTTTTGTTTCTTTCGAAAAATATGTTTTGGGACAGCCAATTCTAAACATTCATTTACCTATATGAACAATTTTAAAGTAAAAACCTGACTAGAACATAGAATTAGCAAGAGGAAATATAACTCCAAGAATTGATCATATAGTAAAGTTTACAACTTTACACCAAGCTACAAAGGTAGCAGGTAGACATTAGTCAATCAAAACTACTCATCAACATTAGCGAACACAGGATTTTCACCAAGGGGTTCATCATCTACAATAGACACATAAAAAGAATTTTTTGCCCTTGTATATACCATATGAATTTTTCACAACCTCTAATTAACTCTCAAGAATAAAGGATAAGACATCAAACTTCCATGAAACACAAGCAGATAACTAAAAACCCAAATCAGCAAACTTTAACACTTTCTAAAAAAACCCCAAAACAGCAATCTTTAACACTTTCTAATAAACCCCAAAGCAGCAATCTTTAGCACTTCCAAATAAAACCCAAATCAGCAAACTTTAGCACTTCCTAATAAACCCCAAATCAGCAATCTTTAACATATTCTTCATAATAAAACTTACAGGCATGAATACGATCTTGTGGACGACCAGATTTGCTGAGAACTTCAAGGTCGACAAGTCCAAGAGACATAAGACCAAGTGTAAGACCAGCCATCAAACCAGCAAACAACACCAATCCTATAACTACCAAAATAAACACAAAAAATTCTGTTCCACAACACGGCACATCTGCCATTTTTTTTTTTTCCCAAGTTCAAAGAAAGTTTGAGAACTTGGAAAAAGATTTGATTTTTTTTGGAATTTTAAACTTAGATTTATGTTTTATCAAGAACCCAAAATCATTCAAGCTACCTAACTTACAAAATTATTTATAGTGATTTTTTTTTTCATTCAAGAACTTTTTGTCTTTTTCTCTCCCCCATATCTCTTTAAAATCAATTTATTTAGCATAGGTGCATGCCCAATGTGATGAAAAACAATTATTCCCAGAATATTATTGGGATTGGCTAATTAAATGAGTAGTTCCTTTGTTTCTTCCGACTGCTAAAAAGCTTTTTTGTTTGTTTATTAAAGTAACGGTAGAATTATCAGTTACTCTGTCCACCGATACATGACATACTTGAAGTTTATTGAAAACATAATTCTAAATAAAAGCACTAAGACATGATATACTTGCGGCTTATACAAGATATGGTCCTAGATAAGAGTATATTGAGATTTCGAATTAAGATAGAAGATTAGTAAATAATTGAGTATGATTTAAATTTTTTTATCAATGTTATTATTGGTATTTTCTTCATATCGTATTCTTTCAATTTTACATTTGTTTATTTTTTTTGCTTCGGTTATCATATTTGTTATTGTTACTATTTGTTTCTACAATACTTTCTATTTAAGCCAATGATCTATTGTAAATAGTCGTTTTATCTTCATAAAGTAAAGGTATTGATCGGTTCCCACATGTAAGATTATATTGGTTATGTTGTTGTTTTGATTTGAACTTGAAACATCATAATTATAATCTCACTTCTTTGATCACTAAATACAAGTCCATAAATGAAATTCTTTCAACGTCTATTAGAATTCTCGTGTTCAAATTCACCTTTCGAGTCCTAAAAAGAAAATAGTCGAGTAAGTAAATATGAAAAACATGATGAGATAGTAGGATCCATCTATTTTTATTGAAAACGTCTACATTTGAATTCACTCTTAATTGAATACTTATATCGTATTTGAATTTTAAAAATGAAGATGACGTTAAATAAATATAAAATACATAATAGTTAAAAATAAATTCTCGTTTGTACTTGTTATTTGCGATATTAGAGTTTGATCTCATATGAATACACACTTTATTAATTTTTATGGTATTCTTTTTTATATATTTTCTTAGGGTTGAAGTAAAGTAGAAATATTCTCAATTTACTATAGTGATATGCTCACATAAGAGTTGACTTAATACGTTGAAAATTATGGTTTAGGTTGACTTTTTTAAACTTTGTAATAGAGAATAATTTTTACTATTAGAATAGTGGAAGGCATGATGACTTGATAAGTAGGTGAACGAAGATTTTTCTGAAATAAAGTTAGACGTATCATGAAATAATATATATAGTTATTTAATTTTTTTCATTTCAGAGTTGTTAATTGATATTTTTAAGACGTTTGAAATCTCGCTATTTATAATATTAGATATATTATTTTTGTTTAAGCAATTATGATTTTATCATATTAAATTATGTCATATAATATGAAATATAAAAAAAATCTAAATGCAAGAGCTTCAATAAAATGTATTAAGATCCAAAAAATATCTTAGTAATTACCAATCATTTATTTTAGACAATTTAAAAAAAAAAAATGTACAAAGTTGTTTCTGTTAATGAAATACCTGCAATTCCACATGTAATAGCACATTCCTTCTCACCATTTTCTCAGAATAAATAAATGAGTATGAAATTTCTTTCATGAGAAACCCAATAAGGAATCTGTTCACCTACCATTATTCCCCAGAGAAAAAAAGAATTTTTTAAGTTCATTGTCTTAATATATGCAATAACAATCGCAGGTTATAAAAATTTACAAGACTGTTGAAATTTGTGATCTTAAACATGTGATTAGTCATTAAATCTTCTAATTAAGAGAATACACAAATGCATCCAAGTGTCTGGTATAATGGTTAGTGAAGTGGATTGATCAGAATCATAATTTCTCAAGTTTAAATTCGAACATAGACAAAAACACTAAACAATATCTTCTACTTGTTCATGTGGTGGGAGATAGTATCAACGTATCCCCTGAAACTAATTGAGGTGTGCCAGGTAGATTAAAATGTGACTACATATGTATATTGAACTATATATACATTTATGAGGTCATGGTGGTAGGAGTGCATATCATGCCAATGCAAAATGTTTAACTTATCATAAGGTGCACATGTTATTGAGAAAAAGACCAAGTAAATTCATAAGGTTCCAAGAACATTATCCAAGTCAAACATCTAACACCCAACAATGGAGCTATCTCACCATGTACAAAAATAGATAACCTATCAAAGACACTAAAAAAAACAATTTTTCCATCTGGCAACCAAAGGCAACAAATAAGTACTTGCTCATAAGTTACAAAAAATAATTGGACCACATATTCTATCTCTCAATAAACCACATATGGTGGATAACATCAAGTGGATACAAAATAACACTGTGCGGACTTTCTTAGGCCTATGGTTAATAATATAAATATGTGTTTAATATATACACACACATATAATAAATGTATAAATAGATATATAATTGAGCCATAGTTAAGGTAGTGGATGTGGATGTGCCAGTTGTTGAGATGTACCTCCTCTTGATGATGGTGTTAGGTGCATGAACAAAATATCACAATGAAAATTGGTATCAAAGCTGATGATTCGATGAGACGAGTATAGAGATGACGGAGTGAAATGGGGCGAGTTACTCCTTTACCCGTTTGCAAGTTGGTTTACTATCCGTACTTGTAGTTTGGAGGCAAACGTATAAGAAGAAGCCCGTGGGCCAAATCAAAGATAACAAAAGAAATAAGCTACATTCAATTTATATCATCAACCAAACTCAATGTAAATCTAATCTCATACTTAATCTTGGATATCCCGCCTTATCTCACACACCTCCTAGATGGGATAAATTAGTCCAAGGACTATAATCCCGTGACAATATAATCCACGTACCAAACGAATGGTTAAAGGCATTTAGGGAAAATTATTGTAGGAAAAATTACATAAGTGAAGGTCTTTTATTTAATAATTAACACTTTTAAGTATACTTTTAATTTATTACCATTTTTGTCAACTTTTAGCAATACTTACTTCAAACAATTTTGTTCCTTTAAACTTAGCAAAAAGTGTTGTCATTCGCAACTTTTAGCGATACTGCTATTCAGCCAAATTGTTATATATGGTTAAAAGAATAATATTAACAAATATCGTAAATATTTTTTAAAAAGTGTACACGTAAGTGATTTTCCCAAAATTGTACAACTTAGGCCCAAAATGGATAATATCACATCATGTTAAAAGGATCTTTGAGTTGTGTCATCCTAACATGTGGGATTCTTTTTATGCTACTTTTGGATAAAAAATTGCTAACCTTTTAAAGATACCATTAAGAGGGGAAAAAGAATCAGAGTAGTAGGGCAAAGTGATGAAAATTGATGGTAGTCGTGGCCTGCTTCATTACCTTCCTTTACTTAACACAGAGAATAGCTGGATATGATTGAGCAACTTTTCTGAGACATTGGTTGTGTGTGTGGCTGTCTTTCCTTATCCTTAATAACAATTCTTTTTCCTCTACTACAGTACTCTTTTATTTCTGTTGTATATATTGCATGGCTTATCCCTTTAGTTCTTCCCTTCTATTAGTAGTCACTAAAAATCAGTATAATAATGTCTAATCAACAAAATGGTAGCTTGCCTGATTTTATACTACCTGATTCTTTGTACACTGAAACCATCAGAGAAGTTCATTCAGCTGTCGAACATGATTGGGATTCTTTGAGACAATCAGCATGTCAAACTGCAGCAGGAAGGGCGCTATGGAAACATGTGATCCATGATCCACTAGCAGAGTTACTTGCAGGGGAGACGTACCTGAAAAAATTGTATGAGAAGATTAAGAAAGATATCCTCAACAATGCTAAAGAGATTTCTGGTGTTATCATTGCAGTTAGGACACTATGGTTTGATAAGGGAATTGAAGCAGCTCTTACTTCTTTTGATGGTGGAGGAGCACAAGTTGTCATTCTTGGAGCAGGTAGGTGATGTTCCCACGTGATCTCTTGTGCTGTTTATACCCTGTGACACTTAAAATGAAATGTATACTTCTATCAACTCAATGACAATTGACTAGTTTATCTTTGGTAAATAGTAGTCAGGGGCGGAGACAACCTTTAGTAAGGGTGTCATTCAACACTGCTTCGTAACATCAAATTAATGAACTTACTAATTGAATTGTGACAATATACTGATATCACTTATGCAAAATCTTGCATATGCTCACTATTAGTAGTCAGTAACTGAACTGATCAAATGTCCACTCACCCAGTTCTGCGACCCCAACTTGCTTGGGACTGAGGCTTAGTTGTTGTTGTATTCTGCAAAAGTTTTCATCCTCCTAGATCCATATACTAAACTAAACATTACCAGGACGCAAAAATTTTCCAGCTTTGAATCCCTGAAATACTAGCCATCAACTGCAACATGCTAATCTTGTCCAGTGACATATAGTCTTTCAGTTAATAGACAGTCATTCCATTTAGGAGCAACTATGACTGTTTGGATAAAAGATGATAAGCGGAATGTTATTTAATTCACTGAGTTATGGACTCAATATGGAGATTGAACACTGAATGGACATAGATTGTCTACCACAAGAGACTCCTCATATTTCACCTAGCATTTCCATGGCTCACCCCTCGGAAGCTGGTTGATTCCATTTAGGAAAAAATGTTACAGAGCAAACCAATGATGTCTGTTCTTTTTCTGCAGGTATGGATACAAGGGCATATCGCTTGAGTTGCTTAAAAGACAGCAACATGTTTGAGGTTGATTTTCCAGAGGTCTTGCAGATGAAAACCACTATTGTAGAGGCAGCAACAGAAACAACAGATGAACAAAAGCACCAACTGATGATGGCAAAATCATTGAACAGAGTGGCAGCTGACTTAAGAGAAAAGGACTGGCTTGAAAAGCTTCAAGAATCAGGCTTAAAGCTAAATAAGAATACAGTGTGGGTATTAGAGGGAATTCTCTACTATCTCTCTCACTCAAATGCAATGGAAGTACTGAAGATTATAGCAAATAACTGTACCTCTGCTCATACAGTACTCTTAGCAGACTTCATGAACAAGCAATCAACAACAATGTCCAGCTCAAATTTCCATTTCTATAGCGACTATCCTGATGAGTTATTGCCATCACTAGGATTTTCTGATGTTAAACTTTCTCAAATTGGTGACCCAGATGCACATTTTGGGTTATTGCATGACCCACTAAATTTGTTCAACAAGTTGCGCAACTTGCCCAGGTCACTTCAAACTCACCCAGATGATGGAACACCATGTTGTAGGTTGTATTTGCTTCAGGCTTCTGGAGCACCACCAAACAAGACTATTTTGTGAATATTATAGAATGGTTCACCAATAAAGTCTAACTTGCTGTTAGAGCTTAGAAGCACCTACTCGTTGATTGTTACTGTCATCGTACCACATTAGTTATACTGGCAACAATATCGTTTAAGCTATGACTAGTATACTTTTTTATCTTTTCAAGATCTAGGTAACTCTTAAACAAGTTCATCATATTTCATCCCCGCCATACCCCCTCCAACTTTTAACTTTTGCAAGAGTTAAAAAGAGATAATATAGTACTATTTTACCTTCTTTTAGAGCTTATTATATTTCTCCCAATCACAAAGAAAGTTTTATCTATTTCCGGAAAAGGGAATATACTTAAAGGAATTAATGCTGATTGCCTGCTTCGGATACTTTTAAGGCTCACACAACAAAAAGAGTCAGAGCGACCAGGAGCAGGCATGAATGCTAAAGAGATTCATACTATTTGTGGTTACTAACCCTTTTTCATATTTACAAAGGCTAGTTCACTTGAGCCCGTAAGTACTTACTTGCCTTTGATAAATGAATGGAGGTGCAGAGATATTTAATATTAGAAACATAATCGTAGTAGATAATCAAAACCTGCTACCTGAAATCACTTGTTATAGAAGGGCTTCATCGAAGGACTCAGATAAGAATTATCCCAGGCCTTGTTCCTTCACATGCTTCTAAGGCTTGATTTATATACAAAACACAAAATGAAAACATCCTTTGTGTGCTATGCTATGTTGCTCGAATCCCCCAAAAATGCTACTGCAACCATGTCAGATCCTCCAAAAATGGTGTCAGGTGTGACGGCACTTTCGGAAGATCTGAGCAATACAGGCGGTATGACCAAATGGTGACTAAGAAACAGAGAAGTTTCGTGAGAGTGAACTATTGGCTGCATGAAAAGAATGTTCTTTGCATAGTATGCAACTTAGGAGCTAGTGCTACTGTCATACTTGAATCCAAGATTACTCCAGTAATTTCAATGAAAGGGAAGATAGGTCTGCTAACTATAACGAATAGCGACTGAAGTAAAGAGAAGTTAACAAAAGAAAATCAAAACAATGAAAGAATAGTATTTAACATTAAGTGTATGATACAACCTATTGAAGTTTTCCTTTTTGCCTGTCCCAAAAGTAAAGGATAAAAGCATCTGCCGAATTGGCAAATGCCAAATTCATCCTGTTCCTTCTTTGACTTGAATAAGGATAATCAAACTTCAAGGCATTCCTTGATGCCTTGCTCAAAGTTGTCCAGACAGGTCACTGTATCCATGAGAGCATTTGCAACCTTTTGTCTGTTTTAAAAAAAATAGCATGTTCATGCCATAAGACGGTACGATCAAAAGACGGGGGACGAATCAAACATGAAATATCTAACTTGTTATCATGTTTATCAGTCTTATAAAATGTAAAATTTTGCTTAAAACAAATCAACACAAGTTTTGAGAAGAGTACAAATAGAAATTGTTGCATATCACTAAATATACCTATTAGAAGCAACTTGCACATCGAATTCATTTGCCATGTCACTGAGAGAAGCAAAAGACCTGCACCCACAAGAAATACAGAAAGTATTGTGTCAAATAATTAATGTCAAATCTCTCCAACACGCGCATGCATAGATGTGTCATTGTGATAACTCAAGACTGACTTTTAACGTCTCCAGAGCACGTGAAATATGGAAAACAGGCAATGAATGTACACTCTTTCCATATCCATTTAGAAACTAAATCAGTAACTAATAAGGATAGTTCTATGGTAACACGTAATTTGAAATTTCCCAACCCAGATTTTTTGGCCACCAACAGCTACTGAAAATAAGATTAGCTGATTCAATATGTGGACAAAAACCAAGCTACTATAACAAAAACATATTCTAGAACATCGGCTAATGAACAGCTAAGACAACTTCCACCTTATATGTACAGAGATCATCCTACTTCTTGAAGTGTTTATAGCTCAACATACAAGATAAATCGGTCACAACAAGTTTTACAGGCTACCTTATGAGATCAATAAGTTTGGCTTCAGCTGCTAACTTTACCGGGTCCTTGTCAGGAAGCAAAGAAGAAGCATTTTTCACAACCAACTGGAAAGTGCAAACCTGAGAATTAGGAATTTTTCATATGAGCCACAAACAACACACACATAGGCCAAAAAGATAAAAGAACCAAAAAATAGAGTGAATCATAACTACTCTTTTTTGCTTAATTATTTACTTTGTTTCCACAGCTTCTCGTCTCCCTCTCTAACACGCCACTCTAAAAAATTGCATTACCATAGAACACAATCTAGAATAGAGACTGATTATATTTTTTATTTTTTTTTCATGTAATAGAAACTAGTAACATGTCCACACCACTTATGCACTCAATCAATCAACTACAACAATTGAGATCGGGCATATGAATCATCTGTATACGGTATACATGCAACTCAATTCAATTCCATAATTAGATCATTTTTCATTGTTGATTATTTTCACATCAACCTACCACATCCTTTTTATTAAAACTCAAGACTGGCTATGCTTAGCAAAACGCTCAATATGCGAAGTCAAACCAGTAGTTCACTTGGCTTAGAAATAAGTGCATTAGCAATTTAACTCAAATAAGTACTCACTGGTTAAAATGTGATTAAAAATTCCATCAAAATCAACAAGAAGCTGGTAAATTCTGATTCAATCAGAAGTCAAAACTCAAACCTCAACTCCTGATTTTGATTGAAACTGAACGAAGGAATTTCTCTCTTGAGGCACACAATCCCTTGCAGCAGATCTCAATAAGCTCTGAACTTCTTCAAGTTCCTTTTCACCAAATTCCGGTTCAGTTCTAGCTGTCAAGTACAAAGCAACTAATTAAGTTCACCAATTGCAGTATTATAAAGAAAAAAAAGATGCTATTTCAAATACACAGTATGTTAGTACTAAGTAAGAGATTAGCATATCGGAGGATGTTTCTAGAAGCCTCGATTGGAGCCAAAAGGTACTTCGCAGTCTTCTTCTTCTGATCTCTTAGCCATTCTTTTGGTCCTGCTGAGAACATTTTTGCAAACCAAAATAAGTCAGTTAGAATTATGCTTAATTTCAATTTTAAAAAAACTCGAGATAAGTAAGTACATATGCCGAAGGAGAGAGCGGAGGCAGGATGAGTGAGAGGAGCAATGAGTGAGAGCCAAACTACGGCATTTCTACGGCTGAAAAACTTTGCTTCGAGCGGCGGCAGCGGTTGCTGCACCGACGGCGACGGTTTCAGGGGCGTCGGAGGGACGGTGGTCGTGGTGGAGGAAGGGATAAGGGTGATACTCGGCGGAGTCATGGTGGTTGAAACGCAACGGTATTGGTACTGTACTTGTCCTTTTCCTAAAATATCATTTCATAACAAGTTTATAAAATGGGAAAATTAGTTAAATAAATAAGTTATGTCCCAAAAAAAAAAAAAAATGGAGATGCGGGGGATCGAACCCCGTGCCTCTCGCATGCAAAGCGAGCGCTCTACCATTTGAGCTACATCCCCAATTTATTAATGGTTATGGTTTGTATTACAACAATCAAGAAATAGAATATTATTACCATAATTTCAAACTACCATTTGAATAATATTTAGTTGAAATTGTGTCTTCCACTTAGAAAAAAATTTGAAGATACATCTAATTAAATAAATGATAGTATTATTTCTCTAATAGCTTAAGATGATCACACACTATTCAAAAAGATGATTCAAATTCAATTAGCTACTTACAAATTATCATAAACTTCGACCCCAAATTCTTGGTCACACAAATACGAATGTTCAAAACCAATGCTTCATGCTTGGATACTATTTAAGGGTTATAAAAATCTCAAGATTAGGCATACACTAGCAATGCACGTGCAGTAAATCTACTATAATATAAGAGCATACAAATGTCTTAGGTTCAAATTTCGTTGTCACCTTGATATTAAAATGAATTTTTCACGTACTTGATCCATACAAAAACAATCTTCATCAAACAAATCATTCAAAAAAAAAATTGAAGTGTATTATTGTCTTCACTCCTCATTAGTATATAAATATATATAAACATAGTTGATACAACCAAGAGGAAAATTTAAGACAAACTAACAATGTTTTTCCCAATAATTTGTCCTAGAGAAGTGATCGCGCTTGCAAGTTAGTACACCAACTTATAAACTCACTCGATACTATAGTTACGCTCTTGTATTGTGGCGAACATGGGAGGGATGCCTTGTTGATGTCGAAAAACATTTAGCGGGTCAATTATGGTCTTAGCCTTGACCAACCTATCATAGTTATTCAAGAAATATTTTTGACCCCAGACACGAGCTCTCTCCATTGCATGGCCAGCATTAGTATTTATCAATAAGTTGTCGATCACTCCAAGGTCCAAATCTATGTAGTTGACATAAGCTGCCCTAGGCGCGCTTGAAACAAAGGGTGCCATTGTATTGTAAAACTCCCTTATCCACTCTATGTACGCATTGCTCTTGGTGATACTATTATCCTTTTTTCCCCACTCTACTAGATATTGAATTCCAAAAAGGTTACCCTTTCTATGAGGGAAAGCAATAGCATCCTCACTAATTCTCTCCATGGCTCCGCCATAAGGGTCCAATATAATGTGTCCCTTTGGCTCTTTCTCAAGTACATCAAGAGTTGTCATTATGCCATCCATTGAAATTGGAGTCTTAACATAGTCCGACTTGGCTTTGAAGTATGATTTTTTCTCAAAGTAGCGTTGTTTTAAAAGGGAGACGTTGGAAGTGTTATCTAATTCAGAAAAGAAAAGTATGGACTTGATCCAATTCATTTCTTTGAAGTCATGTTTTCGAATGCCCAATTCAGGAAAGGCATTGTTCAAGACGGAAATGGCTTTAGTTCTTGGACCTAGGTAAAATCCGTTGAATTGGGCATTCATTTCATGAATTCCTCTACTAGCAACGCCTCTAATGGAGACAGATAGGTAAAATTCATCGTCTAATTTTGGTGCAACTAGTTGCCATTTGTGAACTAGTTGAGACACGTAACGTTTGGATCCAGGCCTAGAGAGTATGAAACTAGTGACAATCTTAGGTACTTTGAGCAATTGGATTTTCCAAGCATATATGACTCCCCATATTCCACCACCACCACCTCTAATCGCCCAAAACACATCTTCTCCCATGGATTCGCGGTCCAATATCCTTCCTTCTGCATCAACTAGAAGCGCATCCACCACATTATCAGCAGCAAGTCCATACTTTCTTGACAAAAAACCAAAACCACCCCCGGAAATATGTCCACCAACGCCCACAGTTGGACAAGAACCAGCTGTAAATCCATGAACATTGCTTGCTCGGGAGATTGCATAATAAGTCTGACCTAGCGTAGCTCCACCCTGCACCCAAGCTGTTCCTGACTCCAAATCCAACGAAACATCATCTAATTTCATCAAATCAATGATCACAAACGACGAACCACCCTCCAAGGTAACCGATGAAGTCCCTTCATAACTATGTCCTCCACACCTTACTCTAATCTCATACGAACTTCGTATGCAACACATAACACTGCTCACTAGCTGCTCCTTACTCTCCGGTACAATAATAACCATTGGTTTAGGCATAAATGACTCCGCGAAACGGAGATTCTGAATAGAAAAATCAAGCAAGTTAGAGTAATAACTACCATCATCCCCTGTTTTGTTAACAGAGAAGTTACTAACATTGTAATTCATCAAACATGTAACAATGTTTGTGCTATTCGTAGCGATGGAAGATAGAATAAGAGAAATAAATAAGAATAATATGATCAAAATTAGTTTCATGGCGAATTTCGTTTAGTTTACTTCTCGATTGATATACAGAGAAGTTGTTTTATACAAGGAAGACAGCAGATCGAAGACAAAAAGATGAAACATAATGAGAGGTGCCGGCCTAATATAAGTTGTTTTAACTAACACTTATTATATTTGTGTACATGAAAATGGATAATATGTTTGCCTAATATAACATGACAATACAATAAACACATCAATTCTGCAGAGTAAATTACGAAAAGTGCCGGCCAACAGCAACATATATATACGACAGATAAAATTGTCATGTTGCAAGATCGATGGTGCATGTAAGTTCTGTTAGTTAAGTAAAGAGGTGTTTTTAAGGTTGTCAAAACTTCAGAGAAAAAACTAATAATTCACGTCGAGTTTAAGGATATTTTCACTACTTGTTTGTTTCCGTTTGACCTTATTTATATATAAAGTACATAGCAATATACAATCTAAAGGATTAATTAGTATTGTCATGTACGTTAACATAACATTTATTTGTAATAGTTTTTCTATGATTTCTAATTCTGATCATCCGCCCCTATCTGATATTATAGTATTGGTGTTGGTATATATAAAAATTCCGTTATGGTCCAATTCTGATCGATAATAAATACGAGAAGTTGCAATATATGATTTATCTGATCATGATATATGTTAATGCGTGATCATTATTCGTAGGATCAACTCTTCATCTCCCGCTCTACTTTTAATGTAAACCTTTGGTTTTACAGTTGCCAGGTTCATTCATGTATGCACATTATATATAGTTTTTTTCCTAATTGTCACTCTCTAACACATATTATTTTCTGGTGAAGAAAACAATAGCTGATAATTAACCAAATGGTACGTAACCTGACTTCTATTTTATTTTCATTGCAATCTATGTTATAGTTGTGCTGTAGTTTTTTCATTTCATAACATAATACATAAATATGACATAACATCGGTCTCAGTCGACATGTATGTCCTCCAACTTTGGGTGTGCATAAGTAGGCATCTATATCCTCCAATTTTATATGACATAATACGGACACCATGTAGGATGTTGTGTAGGGCGTGAATTGCCACATAGGACGCCAAGTAGGATACGTGTCTACTTGTTCAATTTTTGTACAAATTTAAGTGTCTACATGTCAGACTAGGACAATTTTTCCCCTGCCGTTGGGAAAAAATGTTGTTTTAGCCCTTCTATTCCAAACAAAGCTCAAATATAAGGATAATATTAAATTATAGTAAAATGTTAAAATGGATGAATTTGAAAACATGATGTCCCCTATTTTATGTAACCCTTAATGGCAAAAGGCATATCCGATATGATTTGTTAATGGCAAATTGAGCAATTTCTGATAATAAAAGGGCAATCTAATGCACAAAGTATCTCACATTCATACAGAGTGAAAGTAGACAGTCTAGCATGACCATTAACCAAGCATCAATGACTGATTCCACGACTCGAATCTGTGACACACAAGTCACACATAAATAACTTTATCGTAACTCCAAACTTCCCCTTATTTTGTCCTTTTCAATTTATTTTATGTAAGAGCTAAGTTTGATTAACTATGTTTAATTATGAAGGAATATCATCAACCAAGTTATGATCAAACAACGCTAATGTTGATTGAACCATGGGGAGGCACAAGTGGATCAGAATGGAATTACAAGCTCACAAATCCCATTAAAGAGATACTAATAGCTCATGGTGATAATGTTATAGACTCCATTATTTTCAGAACAATTGGTCAACAAGGTATAATTGATTCACCAAAATTTGGTGGCAATGGGGGATATAGAAAAACTAAGGTATGTCAAAAAAATTTTTGACTTGTAAACATATAGTCACAATTTATTTGAAGTAGTTTAGAGAATACGATAGTCAAAACTCAAAACACGTACTATGAATTTTGTCATAGTTTCTTCGATTTTTGAAAACTATACTGAAAAGTACTACAAGTCAAAATTGTCTCATTTGTCAGGTTACTATTGAAAATTCCCCTGGAGAATATTTGACAGGTATCAGAGGCAAACTGGGGTATTATGTTGGCAATTTGGTTGTAAAATCTCTCTATTTTTCGACTAATTTGAAGTGTTATGGACCAGTTGGTGGGAACGAGGTGGGAGGTACCTCGTTTTCACTCGTGTTGAAAGTAAATGGCGCGATTCTGGGATTCCATGGACGTTCTGGAGCGTTCCTTTATGCTATTGGCGTTTATTTGCAGAATGTCACACCACCTGAACAAATAAAACAATTAAAACAACCTAAAGTTGAAGAAAGTCCTCACGAGTTCCCCAATGTACGTACATGTGTTATAGTGGATAAAGTTCAGTTACTTTAACGTGCTTTTACTAATAACATCATTTTACGTACAGAAATTGGACCTGATGAAGTGTATTCAACCGCGAAGCCCCGGACCTTGGGGAGGATATAGTGGAAAAGGTTGGGATGATGGTGTATTTTGTACTATCAAACAAGTACATATTTATATGAACACAATAATTTCAGCTATATGTGGAATTCAAATTGAGTATGAAAAGAAAGACAAAATGTCAGTTTGGTCACAACTTCATGGTGGTTTTGGTATTGGAGCTGGAAATCATGACAATGTTATTAAAAAGGTATGAGTTTTTTCAAATTTGAAATCGCGATGTAATTTATTTGTTCATTTAATTTTTATTTTTATTTTGTGTGTGAAATCGATATGCAGATATATGTTGATGGTGAAAGCGAGTTCTTGATTGGAATTGAAGGATATTATAGTCTAGTGAAGGAAAATGGAGGCCTTGATACATTAAGACAAATTGCATTTTATACAAATAAGGGAAAATATGGACCTTATGGAGTTGAAATTGGAACTTATTTTAGTTCTTCAGCAGCTAGAGGAAAAATTGTTGGTTTTCATGGAAAAAGTGGTGTTTTCTTAAATGCTATTGGTGTTCATATGGAATATTTCTAAAAAGGTTAAGAAGTGTTTATCCTTTTTGAATTTTTTATCTGGTATTCGATATTTATATTTATGAGATTTGGATTTATCGTGGACAATGATTACCTTTGGTATCGTGAATGCTATTGTTATGTTTTACTGATCCTACTGAGCATACTCCTTCGGTTCCATATTAGTTGTTTATTAAATTGTCTTTATTGTATATATTTTAGTTTAAGTAATGTCAAATATTGTTACAAGTTTTGAACATCGATGAACCTTATATTTAGCTATTTTAGTTGTCTTGATTGGAATATATATATGGCACGTACGTAATGACTGAATTATAGATGAATCAAATCGGAGGACACTTTCGTGCAAGTACAGGTTCAAAAAAAAATTACTAGAATATCATTGCTCAAAAGTGTAGCTAGCATGAGTAAATATTATGATAAGGAGAATAAAATGGAACTGATATCCTACTATCACTTGATGAGCCAGAACATACTTTTTGTTAGAGAATTAGAGTCTCAATCTAACTTATTGTCAATATATATAACGTCAGGATCACCTGACGTTCATATAGTATATTATAGTCTTTATTCCTCCTATTTTTCACATTATTGAAGATCTTACACATGAAGAGAAATTAGAAATATTCCATATGGACACCAATAGCATTCAAGAAAACACCACTTTTTCCATGAAAACCAACAATTTTCCCTCTAGCTGCTGAGGAGCTAAAATAAGTTCCAATTTCAATTCCATAAGGTCCATATTTTCCTTTATTTGTATAAAATGTAATTTGTCTTATTGTGTCTTGGCCCCCATTTTGATCCACTGGACTATAATATCCTTCGATTCCAATAAAAAATTCATCGGTACCATCAACGTTTATCTGCATATCAAATTCATCAAAAAAAATTAAAAATATTTCTCCCTTCACAATAATAATAATAATCAATTATATTTCGATTTCAAATTGATTATATGAGTCCTTTATATCCACCCATCTACATTCAAATTACAGAAAATGATCAAAGTTACTCATATATTATTCAAAATTGAACAACTCGATATGCGTTTTATTAGATTTTAGTCTAATGTATATTACCCTCATTATTAGAGAAAATATCTTGTTTTCTACATGTTTATTATGAGGGTAGTTTTAAATCACAGTCAAAAGTTGGAGGGCAAATTTGGACCTTTTTCTCAGAGAATTTGGGAAGAACATGCATTAGTACCTCAAATTCAATTCAAATACTCTTTAGATGCACACTCCGTTTTCTAAGAAAGATTTATCATCCGAAAAGAGGCGGACAATAGTCTTTTGCACATGAAAATATGACTAAATTTTTCCTTGTTGTTTTTCAGAGCGAAGTGAAAACAATGGGATTCTTGAACATGGTAAAAAATCCAATGAATACGAAAGAATTGAATAAAAATTTGTACGAGGTGAAAATCTCAAGTACAATTATGTACACTTGGAGTCCACCACAACAACATAGGACCTCTATTAGTGGGAAGGATAAATACGAGATGATTTACTAACAACAAAAGATAAATTCATACCTTTGTAGTTATTTTTGCCCCAGGTTCAAGACCATGAAGTTGTGACCAAACTGATGTTTTATCTAATTTCTTTTCATACTCAATTTGAATTGCTGATATAGCTGAGCTATGTAAAGCCTCATGAACTTGCACTTGTTTTATAGTAAAAAATACTCCATCATCCCAACCTTTTCCACTACATCCACCCCAAGGTCCAGCACTTTTTGGCACAATAGTCTTCATCACATCCATTTTCTGTGTATGCAAAATGTGAAGTTAAAATTATTTGTTCATTACGATCGGTGTAAAAACTCCGTACTTGATATTTACATCAATTTATTTAATTTACTATGGTTAAACAATTAAATAACGTGTAGGAGTATATATGTTAAGTACTGAAAGAGGTTTATGTGCAAATACATATCATGCATATATTGATTTAGTGTAAATATTGACTTAACGGGGAAGTTTTCCTGTCCTAACTATTTGAAAAAGTCAAATTTGGGTTAACACAAACGATAAAAT